GTATTTGTTTTTAGAATAAGTAAGTTCAATATAAGAGACTCGCCACACAGCAAGCGCTTCTTACTTTCTCTAATGTTTACCTTTTATTAAAATAAATGGGTGTAAATATGTATAATATGTATGTATTTAATAAAAAAAAAGTATATAAGTAGTAAATCCGTTAAGCTAGCACCCATAACACAAGCATTGAGTTGCTTACTTTGGGGCTAGCTGGCGCTGTGTGAAATTGTCCAAAGATTTATTTATTTATTTATTAAAAAACTATAAGCTTAAATCGTAAAATATGTTTTCTTTTTCTATGACTGCGCGCGTTTACGGATAGTGAACAACCTTGTTAAGCCGCCGTGCGCACGCTGAATGGTCCATTTGCTTCGTTCGATTAATTGATCTCATTATAGAGCAGACTTTTAACTTCATAGCACCATAAAGTATTGTTCTATTAAGAGCGTTTACGCGAAGCGCGGCGTTTCAAGGGGCATCATTGGAAATGATTCGCGCGCGGCGTTTTTTAATAGTTTTCAAATGTATATAGCAAAACAATAACAATGAATTATATATCGTTTTAAAGTAAATATTTTAAAGAAGATGTTATTTTATTATATTAAGCTATTTTTATGTTGAATTAAAAAAGAATAATGGTGTAAAAAACACTTTGATTTTTGGGTATTTCACGTTCTTTGAATTTGTGATTTCTTATTGTAAAATGCTTAAATCTAAGAATTTTCTCAACTAACTAGGTTGCCTAAGGACCTATGCTATAGGATAAAAATGTTTGTTATATCGTTTTCACAGTATTTTTATAAAAATTTCAGCTTGTAAACTGACGCTAAAGTGGAAATTTAAAAACCTGTGTGGACTTATCTTGATAGAATTCTTAAATACTATACTAATCGAAATATTTTCTCAACTAACTATTAAGACGACGAAATTGCCTAATTATTTATGCCTATAACATATTTGTAATGTAACTGGTTAATGATTGTAACGGGTTGAAAAAGTACTGTTTTTGCACCAAACGGCGTAAACGGTCTTAAGTTAAACCACATCTCTTCTTTCTTCATCGTCGCTAGAGGAGACCGAAGTGAGTTGTACAGAGGAGAGTAATTGTGTGGGGAAATGTATTACCATATTTAACAAAATACCACACAACCTTGTCGAATTGCCAACAAACAAATTTATGATACATATAAAAAATACCCTTATGTCCAAAAGGTACTACAAGGTTCGAGACTATATTGATGACAAGGATGCGTGGTCAGTTCAGTCTGCACATATTTGATGTACTTAAATTTGACTATTCTTACCGTTAGATAATTCCTGGCAATAAGTGGTGACTGAGTTTGTTCCGGCGTTTCTTCTCAGCACTTGCCATATGTTTGTCTCGAAGCGCTGGTAGGGCCCAAAAGATAAGGAGACATGTAAAGTGCCCCATAAGGGCTACCTTTTCTTTTTTTATTATTTTCTATTGACGTTCATAAGTGCCACTTGTGGTCTAAACTGAATAAATATNGGGGCTCACAGTTTGAGCAGGACTTAAAATAATGTACCTAGATAAAATTAGGTGATACAATTATTATTAAAATACTAAGTTTTCATTCATTGAGACCCAAGAACAGTTGTTAGTGTGACTTTTTTATTTATTTATTTTTTTATGAAAGTATCTTACTAGACGTTTAAATTCAAATAAAAAAATAATTATGTATTGTTTGTTAAACACCTGTACCTTTTTGAATAGCTAATGAATCAAGGAACTAAATTCTGTAATTTGTACACAACATTCCATACATTTTTTCTTGGAAATTCTTCGTTTAAGTACCTAAAACATATTTTTTTTTGCAAAATAATACATGGTTTTTTAGCTTTTACTTGAGTAATGATGATTCTTTCTTGCAAATTCTAATTTAAAATGACAATCTTATTATTTAGCTATCCGAATACAACAAAAAAGTTAACATTATTCCGTATTCTTCATTGCAAGGGTATATTTTAACATAAAAACTGGAGATTTTTAAAAAAATACTTAAATCTCGAATAACTTGGAAATGAACAAGTTTCGGACATGGTGTCATATGACTTAAATGACTGCAAATAAGCTCTACTTTAACCCCTTTCAAGGAATGTATCGCTTTACCTGTCACCCTGTATTTAAACACGTAGAACGTTACGGTCATAGTAATTAATTAACTAGTAATTCTTAACTATCAATTAGTAGAATGGTATGAACACTGGCAGGTGTTGAAGCCGATAAAAAACGTTTACCGTACCAATACAAATAAATTCAATAAGTTAATATTATCTAAGTAACGGCAACCACTCGACCGTACAAAGCCAAACATAAATTATTGCACAGTTTTTGCTGCACTTATTTATGAGAAACTGCACGTAATAGAGCTTAGAGTTATTATCTCTTTTAACTATCTAGGCGTCAAAAATTCAAGGAGAATGCAAAAAATAATGCTACATTAAACAACAGTCATAAATTATTATTACTATGTGTTTTAGTATAGTAGATACTACATACCTACGCCTAAACCATGATTTATTGAAGTTAATCTTAGAATGTTATAAGTGTATACTTTGCACATAAATAAATCATTAGCGAACATTATGCTCCATGTTTTGGATTTGATTGTGTTTTTACATAAGTCAAACGCCTTGTAATTTTTTACAACGAATGTGTCCATAGGTCACTTAAAAATGGTGCGAGTGTCGTTCCATTACTGTAAGGAGTAGAATGAACCAGCAAACCCGTGGGCGTAGGGTAGTTCATAAAGTTTTGACAGTCCTACAATAAAAGGATAGATCGAAGTTGCTATCGAATTTGCTCAATCTTGTGAAGTTGAAAATGTTTACCGAGCTACAAACAAAAAGGAGAGCAACCTTTGAGGTGCTTTGAGTATCTAATGCCCTTTTTCACTATCAATACCTAATTTTAAGTGACCCCTTTGAAAACAAAATTCATGTTATGTGTTACCATAGGGGTCACTTAAAAATTAGGGATTGATGGTGAAAACAGGCATGCGATCAATATCCATCTTAGGCAATCGGTTATTTGTGTCAACAGATTCAATAAATTATTGTATTGTCAACCAACTACTCTATCCATTAATCCAAGTCTTGAAACATTTGTGTTGGATAGTATTTCAAACAGTAGTTAACATCAGAATTGCGGGGCATGGTCAAATAAACAAGTGAGATTCAGAACCAAAAGTACGCGAGTCCGACTCGCACTTGGCGTTGGCTTAGCACAGTTTTATATTACATTTTCCTTTGATACAACACCTTCCTTGCATCCTACGGGAATTCCGTGCACATAAATTCCCGGTATAAAAGTAGGCTGTGTCGTGCCTCGCGGGAATTATGTGGCTTTCTTAACGTGACATATTACTTAGCACCGGACACGTTTTATAATTCCAGAGATTGCCCCTGCAAACATTTATGTTGGTATACGCCTACGAGTATACAAGTAGGTAAAAATATTTAAAAAAATACTATTATTATCCAATGTCCAACAGTGGACGTCATTCGGCTGAAACGAACGAACTAAATCTACGAAAGTGTAGTAGCCTACTACAATCAAATAATTCCTCATTAGTGTAGTTACTACAATTTGATTGTATTGATTAAGCTAAACTACTGGAATAATTTGAATAATTTGTCATGCCCTGAGTGCCCAAGCAACTGCACTCAGGAGGATTTGATGAGTGCTACTGACAACGCCACTCTTGTGGCGGAGTTTTGGGCTGACACTGTGTAGGTTTGTTGTCGACACAAAAAGAAGAAGATTTGAAAAATTCTTTCACCATTAGAATCCTACATTACCTGATGCACAAAGGCTATAGAATATTTTCAAAAAGGGCGGTACGAAATTTGCCGGGTCAGGTAGTGTGTAGGAACTTATTCCTATAAGCGAATTATATTTTAATGGTCTATGGGATTTTACATTCTTTCAGGTTTATCCAACTTTTCTCTTCGTCAATTTTCCTCGGACTAAGTAACACATTGAAATTACTTCTTCTTAATACCGAACTACGAGAGAGTAAGAAAGCTATCTATTAAAATTAGTGTCATTAGTAGTTATTCAGTTAAATAATAATAGTCTTAATCTGATCCAACAAAGATAAAGGTAAGTTTTTCTGTTCCCGCCAAGTTTCGCCGAGTAAATTCAGAGTCTGCTAGTTCGTAAGTGAATGTAAATTGTTTCTTTCATCAGCCAGGTTGTTGGACAGCATAATTTGAAAGTTTGTTCATCACTTTGCGGATTATGGAGACTGTTTTACAATAACAGCGCGAACGGCTTAGCTCTTAGCTCACCGCACGGAACGAGTTTCGCTGAATTTTATGGAAATCCGTAACGTGGACATTTGAAAATTAATAACAGTAATGGATACCGTTTTTTAACAAATAGGAATTTTACTATTGCGCTTCAGAATACCCAGTATATAAATACTGAGGCTGGGTTGCTGCACCATCTTACTTTAACTTTGACAAACGTCAAAAATCTGTCAAACTCCATACAAAAAGCAGCGGTTATCGTTATAGTTACGGTCAAAGTTAGGTGGTGCTGCACCACCTAACTTTGACCGTAACTATAACGATAACTGGTGCAACTCAGCATTAGTAAACAATAAAAGCTATGTCACTGTAAATAGTTGGCCCCAGGCATAGTTGTGCTAAGGGGAATGGTAACGGATGAACGAACATACTATTATAATAAATAGACTTTCGTGTTTATATTTTAACTGAAATATAATTACAAGGTTATCATCATCTATTGAGGTCAGTAAACAATTTTTGTAATTTTTCCGCAACACTTTTATTTTTAAGCCTTTTCAGGCTGGATAAAGAGGCAATTTACTCTGCTAAAGCCGGGGACCCTCCCGTTCCAGTTATTAGCGGAATTAATAAGCGGGAAGGGCAGGAGGCAGGAAACTGGCTTATTAACTGACAAAACGAATTTTAATTTAATCACCGTAAAGTTGAAAGTCTTTTGTAATTACCTTGTTTGCGGTTGTCCGGAGACGGCATGCTCACGGGCGATGCCTCGACCTGGAAAGATAATGTGATTTTGAAAAACTGCGACGTTTTAAAAGATTTTTTACGTGTTCATAACAAAGAGATACCTTTATATTACTGTCCTATGTAAATCATCAAAATGAATGTAATGCCAACTCAACTGTTCAATGAGAATGGATGAGGGAACCTAAAATTTAAGTTCCATTAAACGTACGAGTATACGAGTACGTGGGACACTATTTAAGTTGTGAGCCTAACTATGAAAACAAAGTAGTTTATTATTAAAATGGTATTGATTGCGTTTATTGGTATTGTCTTTCATGATTTATGTACTTTTTAATGTGTCCGAAACACTTTTCATAGCATTTTTTCCACTCAACTTGAGGCACCTCCAAAGCATGGTTTTTGACCGCACCGACAGTTGCTTCTGGCTACATAAATCGCTGTTCACGCATTTAATTTTAATATTTGGGTACCAAAAGAAGTGTTTAGATTCCAAGCAAGAATTTTGTAGCGTTGGACCTGTTTATTTCATATTTTAAGTGTTCAAACAGTGGCGTAGCTTGGGGGGGGGCAGGGGGGGCCATGGCCCCGGGCGGCATATGAAAGGGGGCGGCGGATAAGAAAAAAAACATTGCATGAACAAGAAAAAAAAGGTCGACTATGTCTACGTTGAGACTAACAAATCTAGCTATACAGGCAATTGAAAATGAGATACAATTTGATATCGACGATTGTGTAAAAGATTTTGCTTTGAAAAAAGCACGAAGAGTACATTTTTAATCTATTGTTTTAAGTAATAGTAACAAAAATATTTAAGGAGCTTACTTACCCCTCTAAAACTTGCGCCACAGATAATCTTTCGTGATTTCTTTTGTTACAAACCGAAATAAAAAAGTAGTTTGTAAATAGTTAAAGGCATATCTAAGCTACTTTTAAAACCGTGTATTTATTATATTCTGCAAGTTCGAAATTCAAAATTAGCTAAAATGGTAACTTTTAGCAGTAATTAAATCTGTAACTTGCTGCAAATATCTAATGAATTCAAACAAATTATTTTAAAAAATAGCTTCGATACATATTATAAATTTTTCAAACCACTTTTTTAATTTCGGTCTATAACAAAAGTAATCAAGAAAAAATATGGTGGCGCTGGTTAGCTAGGGTACAACCCTTAATAATATTAAGCACATAATTATGTTATTCCTTCTAAGTTCAATGAGCACTATAAGCTTTTTAAACGTATTTATCAAACATTTCCAAGGACTAAACGACACAAGCGTCCTATTGAGCGTTTGAAAAATTTTGTGACATCCAGCGAGAAAAAAACGTATTAACCATAATATGGTCATACAATAGATTATTACTGCTAGTGGAATTAATGCCTAGGATTATCTCAATCATACGATATATCACATGACGAGGTTTCTCTTCCATTTTTCTGACAACATCAATGTTTTCCGCCACTATTAGTCATTTTGGACGACTTTCGCAAAGTTCACTGGTGAGCCAATGACATACAATATTATACTTCTTAAACTAGCGTTTTACAATGGTAAAGAACAGATCTTTATCACCAAAAGTGAAATTTAGCTGACCGCTTCAGTTTTGTATTGATTAACCACGTCGAAAGTCATAATAAATCTTCGCGCGAAAATTTCCGCAAGTCAATTCCATGTTTTTGTAGTCAAGATAATTTTCAATTCAATGTTAATAGTACAAAACGTGCTCAAATGATAAAAAGTTTTGAATAAGGTTGTAGTCAAAAATGTCAAACTTTTCATTAAAAGTATCAGATGTTGTCTAACAACACGTTATGTTGTCGAGGCTCACAACTTAAATAGTGCCCTAGTAAGTACCTAATATGATTTATGATTTTTCAAAACTGTTTCCCTGAATTTTCGTTAAAATATAAAACCCACGACCATACATAACAATTTTTAACCATTTCCTATATTTCAAGAAATAGCGTTTTTCTGTAGAATAAGTAGAGGAGACCTACAAAGAAAGAATTTTTCATGGGTATCATTAGCTAAGCATTAGCTTTACAAGTATTTACATAACTTAGCTACCACATAACGTAGCTTCTTTTAAGATAGGCACAAGTAAAATGACTACATTTGTTTGGACTTCCACTATTTTAATATTTAAAACTGTGTAAGTAACGCTTAGATAAATGAATTTTTACTAAGTAGGTAAAATAATTACCATTTTTCTTCACGTTTTAACTAGACATTTTGAAAATTAAAGGTCTTTTAAATTATTTGTATAAAGTGGTTTCGTGTCTTCTTAAGGTCACAACAAACCACCTTTAGCTCATTAGATTTAATAGCTCAGTAAGTTCAAATTATTCATTCTTTGGACTTTAAGAATAAGATTAAAATGGGGTGGGAAATATATTCCCCCTGCCATGTCAAAACTTAATATTAGATTCACAAAAGGACTGCTGTGGTATGATGTGCTTGACTTGAGACGTGCTACTGTACCTCTCTCAACTGTGTACAAACTATTCAGATTTATTCTACTTAACTATGTACTAAGTAACCACGAGGGAAATCATTTGGTCCGCTTTTAGTAAAACAGAAAATTCATCTACCTACAGTTTTGATGAACAAAGTTAGGCACTTAAACTCCAAATGTATGTAAAATAAATTCAGAGCTCGAGACAATTAATAGTTAACATGTACGCGTTAAACTTCAATGTAAAATTATTTAAATGTTTGCCGATAATAATTGAAAAGGCTTAATATTTAATAACCCCAGGGATTTTAATTATAAACTATGACGTGTGTATTATTAAACTAGCTTTTGTCCGCGGCTTCACCCGCGTGAAATTTAGTGTCACAAATCGGCATAAATTATAGCCTATATGTTAATCTGGATTACAAACAAGAATACTGTAAAGTTTCTACAAAATCCGTTGAGTAGTTTTTGCGTGGAAGTGTAACAAACATGTTAACATCCAAACATCCATACCTACAAACTTTCGCGTTTATTAGATTGATGAAGATGGCAACTTGAGCTTTACAGCACGGTTAGAGCAAACAACACATCCTCCTTATTAATGACTGACCGGCGAACTTCGTACCGCTTATTTATTTATTTATTTACACTTTTGCACATACAACTGTACAGTGGCGGACTTAATGCCAGGTGGCATTATCTGTCAGTCAACCACAGGTCGAGTTTAAAGTTAAAAGTTTAATCTTTAAAATGGTGCCACTTTTATGTTACTAACAAATTAGTTAGTACACAAGATCGCGTGGAAACAATTTCATGTAAGTGATTCCATACTTTTGCTCGCGAGTGTAGGGTTAATTATACCGCACTTCATTAAAGCTGTCGATCGTGGTCGAAACAAATGAACTTATTAGCAATCGTTAAAAATAGAGCGATCAAGACAATAACTGTCACTTAACACTAACGAAGTCGTAATTTAGACAGCATAAACAATTTAAATTAAATTAAAACACCACAAAAAAATGATATTATTGTATGACTAGCTGTGCCCGCGACTTCGTCCGCGTGGACTAATGACTTTGGGTAGGCACTTTTAATAATTTAGTCTAATCCTATTTTACAAAGGCCTATGTTCAGCAGTGGACGTCCTATGGCTGAAATGATGATGATGATGATGATGATTCTACAAATAGCTTTTGCCCGCGACTTTGTCCGTGTAGAAGTCGAAAAAGTTCTCATAGGATTTTTAAATGGTTTTTAACGTTATTATCTAAATGTTTGAATACTATTTGATCGTTTAAACACAGTGAATGATTCAATTACATAAATTTTTAATGATACCTTTTCACGGCTTCGCTCTCAAGAATGTTAACGACCGTCAAAAGCACGTCGATAGATGGCGGTCACTAATTTAGACTTTGATTTGCTCGTTTAAACACAGTGAATTATTCAATTACATAAAATATCTTTATTGACTAAATTTTAAATATTATGAACAGGTTCTATAAATGTAATATTTAGTTCCTAATTAGGACTAATGATACGTTTCACGGCTTCGCTCTCATGAATGTTTACGACCGTCAAAAGCACGTCGATAGATGGCGTTTTTAAAGATATTTCTCACCTCTTAACTATTTATTGAAATTTAGTTTGTCACATATCGTCATAAATTGTAGCGTATATGTTAGCCTGGGTTATAAATAATAATACTGTAAAGTTTCAACAAAATCCGTTTATTAGTTTTTGCGTGAAAGAGGAACAAACATCCAGACACCCAGACAAAAAGGTTACAGTGAGCCAACCATAAAAGATAGACATATGCTGTCGCGGACTTTTTTGTAGAACTTTTAAAGGGGAAAATCCTATCATACATAATTTATGCGAAACTTTAACCGTTTACGCAGCGTCAGCTCTCAAAAGGAAAAAAATCACTGATTTGAAACATTCTTCATTGGTGCTCCGCTCCTAGTGGTCTTAGCGTGATGATATATAGCCTAAAGCCTTCAGGGATTAACGGACTATCCAACACAAAAAGAATTTTTCAAATTGGTCCAGTAGTTCCTGAGATTAGCGCGTTCAACCAAATAAACAAACTGTGATTAATAAATTGCGCCACTACAAACCGTACCAACAGATGGCGCTGTTACGATCTTACTATGGCAAACTCCACCGCGCATACAATCCTGCATCGCGGTGACGAAGTTTTTTACCCTGCCCAGTATATATAGACAAACCAAGATAGTGTAAAATAGATGCACTAACACCATAGCTTCCTTATGGTGGTTGAGCGTCATGTTCCACAACTTCAGCTTTATAATATTAGTATAGACAAGTAGATTATTCCGTTAAAGATATCTAAAAATAATTGTGCTGATATTGAAGGTTACCTAAATTTACAACCTGAATACATTTTAATACTAAGCGTGCCAGTTCATCATGGTGAGATGATGACTACCTGATGCAAACACTTGAATAACTTTAGAAACTATACGTATCTATACAATTTAAAGAATTATCCTACAACTCCTAAGCATTAAAGAGTTTTACCTTCTATCATCAGCTCATCAAT